CTTGCCCCCTACTCCATCTCCACTATATAAGGCGCCCTCTACCCCCTCTTGGATAATAATCCAATTCATTCTGATTCATGACAACAAGAGAAGAATAGTCTCCTTAGGACCTATCCTTTGTGAATAGAATAGTGAGATAGAGAGTGAGGGAAGAGTTTGGAGGAAGTGCCGGCCTATCGGTCTCTCTCTATGGCTTGTACCTTGGCGGATTTAAGTTCTATTTGAACTTGCTTCTGAGACATCTCTGGTAATTTATCTCTAATCCAAGTAAGTTTGTGTTTATATTGTTCATCAGGTTCATGACTCTTTTGAGTGCTTTATTCTTTTCCTAGGAAGAGTAAAGTAGTAATCAATAGTGTAAGCGCGGTGCTTAGACTTTTGGTTACTCGTAGAGGCACCCTACATTCTGGATCGTGTGGTAGATCGCGGGGGTGACAGCCCCGTTGAGTCCTCTGTAGTCCACCTCCCGTCTGTAGGCCAAGTAGGACAAAAGTTGCGACGGAAGTAGTTAGGCTCTGTTCTTGCTCTTCCGTAGCGGCGTCCCCAGGTGAATAATAGACAACACCGCTTTACCCAAGTTAGAGAAAGAGAACCTTAGTAGTCCTCTCTATGCTCCTGTTATCCTTAGCCTTGTTGCTAGCTCCTGGTTAAGTTAGACTTAGTTAAACTCACACGTTTCCCTGAAATCGATATCCTAGAATACTTCCAGTGAAGAGCTACAACTGATATCCGTGCGCTTGCAGACCTCTTTCTACGTGCACCCACAGGTGTCAACAACCAACAATGAGGTTGCTGGCAGACCATTACTCGGTGGCCTCCCGACCAAGCTCATGCTTAGAGCTAACTCTTACTCATCTAACTGTATGATTACTTACTGTTCTTTGCATAACTATATTAAAGATACGCCGGCTCCTGTAGGATCTTTATTCTTTATTCATTCTTTCTTCCATCTTTACCTCTGTGGTAGGCTCGAGTGTGTGTCACACTATCCTTAAACCATACTATGTTTACCCCTATCATGAACTTTAGTCCATTATGCAAGCATGTTATCCTGATCATATCCATGCTAGAATCTTTACACCATGCCTTCCTTTGGGAAAATATAAATAACGATACCCTTAATACTTCCAAGTGAAATGCTACAACGGTATTTCCGTGCGCTTGCGGACTTAAATCTGTAAACATTAAGATTTACCGGTTGATGTTTTATAGTGTCGTTATCTGGGACGTCAATCCTAGGTAGCGATGCAAGGAAATGGCAACTAGCATTTCTGGCGCCATTGTTAGGGATAGATTCTATCTCTATTCATAGTGATGATGTTTAGAGATGCCAACATTAATCGAGGCGGGCAAGTAATAAAAACCGCCTTTGTTAAGTTAACGGAGGTGGTTTGTTTAAGACAACCGCCTCGGTTAAATCTTTAACCGAGGTGGTCGCTTTAGGATGACCGCCACGGTTAATACCTATTAACGAGGCGGTTGATTTAAAGCAACCACCTTGGTTAATCTATTAACCATGGCGGGCAAACCAACCGCCTCGGTAGGTCCAGATTAACCGTGACCTTTACTCCGAGGCGGTTGCGATGCCCGCCTCCATTAAATTTCCTGTAGTAGTGTTAGTTAAAAATTAAATTATACTTTTGATGTCAAAATCATGTTTAGATGATAGAGAATATTCTAAATAACACAACAAAACTTGTTTCACGATTTTTGGAGTTCAAATTCATCTTCTGTTAATTTTACAAGTTTAGGCTGTGCTGCTGTGCATTTACTAGACCCTCCATCAAATGTGACGGACCCTCCAGTGGAAATTACCAGACCATCCGTCAAATATGATGGACACTCCACCAATACAAGGCTGCTCTCGGGTTGTGGCTATAATTCAACAGATGGTGCTCCAAATGTGACGGACACTCCGTCAAATGAGGAACAACAGCAGTGCAAAGATGTCGGAGATGATTTCCGGGGCATCCGGACTCTGAATAGAGTGTGGTTTGTTCCTATGGCTTTCTAGGGATTTGAGGAAGGTATTCCAACTGTTGGAATCACCATGCATGGGCTGTGGGGAGTTTGCCCTTATCAACAGCGAAATCGACCATTGGAGGACCATGGAGCTTGGTGGGAATGAAGACTGGGAGGGGATGATGAAGATGGGCGTCATGAGGAGTCTCACCATGACTTGGGGAACCTCCATCTAGAGCAGCTCACGGCGGGATGCCTTGTAGAGGTAGATCGAGCTTGCGGAGCTTCTCCATGGGCTTGGGGAAGAAGATGGTGTCTTGGGGGCCTTCTCCATCTCCGGCGGGGTGGTGGCGTGTTGAAGCTTGCTAGCAACGACCTCCAGCAGGGCTCCAGCATGGGAGCCTCCCTCCTCCTCCTCTTCCTCATCTCCTTCTTCTCCTCTCTTCTACCTTCTTCTCCTCTCCTTTCTCCTTCTCTGTTCTTTCCTGGTATGTGTGTGAGAGGGGTGAGGGAGAGAGGGCTGATTGGGAGGGCGTATATTTGTGAATGGTGCGGATGACAGGTGGGGCCGGACTGACATGTGGGCCCGAGTTGAGTGAGAGATGGACAGCACAACAATTGCATGTTACAGGTGTCGGCACAATTTTGACGGACAGTCCGTCCCGAGCGACGGATGATCCGCCAGTGCTCGACTGTGCCTGACAGACTGAATGGTCGTGCAAAGGTTTTGATGGACGCTCCGTCGTGATTGATAGACGGTCCGCCAAAAATGTGCAGGTTCAGTTTATGCACAAGTTAACTTCTAATTTTTAAATTTAAAATGCACATGATGCACACCAAGTTTCTAGATGTAACATGCAGGGTTTTTTATTTTAGGATTTTTCAGATGCAACCTAGGTTCATAATGCATGTGAAAAAAATTGGCATGACATTTGGTTTGTGACAAAAACTATGGGCATTCAGCTGTCTCTCTGTGAACAAGGAGAAGAATAGACGATGTTTACTAAGTAGGAGCATATAATGATATTTAAATTCCCATTCTGTTGTCATTAGCGACCTCACGATGTTGTTTCCTAATTAATGGTGGACAAAACGCTTACATTGTTTACAACTATCATCATTGGCAGTGTCATGTATGTTTGTGCGAACATCATCATGGTTGACAACTATCGTTATTGGCAGCAAAAGGGCAATATGACGGTGTTTCTTAATTAATGGTGGACAAAATGCTTACATTGTTTACAACTATCGTCATTGGCAGCGTCAAGTACGTTGTGCGAACATCATCATGGTTGACAACTATCGTTATTGGTAGCAAAATGGCAATATGACGGTGTTTCCTAATTAATGGTGGACAAAACGCTTACATTGTTTTCACCGAGAAGAGCCAAGCTAATATACAAATGTCAGTGTGTATATATACACACATGTACATAGAGCACATATCACCGTCATAGGCTACTGCGTTCTTCTTCTTCTTCTCCAAAGGTTGTCATGTATTTCTTTGTTACTTATTGCTTCCAAAAATTTTCCTTTTAACATTTTAGTAGACTGTTTGCTGCTCGGTTGGTATATGGTTCAATCGATTAAGACATCTTCTTAGTATGAAAGTAGGATGTCTATCGCAGTATCAAGTTTATTCTTGCCAAAGATGATAGCATTAGTTCGAGACAAGATGTTATGTTTTTATTGATTATGTCAATGTTGCTCGATTATTGATTCTTATTGGTATTATAACAGTTTCGAAAGAGAGAAAAGCAAAGGATATATATAGTACGTTATCATGACTGCCCTTGCTCCGGCTCCCGAGATCACAATGTTTGCCGGATTGGTTGGCCGGCCGCTTCAGCCGTTTGTTGACTGGATCGATACCGAGAGGCCAGATATAACACACATTGACGAAGTAAATTTAGATGAGGGCGAAGAGCCAACGCCTTGTGAAAATCTCCCACCCAGAAGTAAAAAGATCGTTATCTACTACACCGTGGTAAATGGTCTGGAAACGATTGATGAAATACCTTATATTGTTCAATGCTAGGTTGCCTAGCAAAAGCTACCTTTATACTTTTTTATGCCTTGATATATGAAAGGCAAGCATCAATTGAATAATGCGAGCGAGGGTGCCATCTGAAGTTCCTTGTATGGTTGATTTCATATATGTACGTGTCTGTGATGAATCTATTGAGTATTGTCCTGCTCAATATATATATGTAATAATAAACAATGAGATGTCTTGTGTTGATGAGTAACGTATGTCCGGTGAAGTATTTATATATAGTCCTTTAATTTAGGCGCAATTATGTCATGAGAAATTAGCGAGCAATACTTGACACACTTCGTAGATGGTTCCCAATATTGGCATCGAGCATTCCGATCATGGATGGCTACCAAAGTTTTCAGGCGTTGTTGTTAGATAGGATGAAATGCATTGGCTTGGCATACAACAATTCTTTTTTTGTTTGATTTGGAAAAGTATTTCAATGTTGAGCTGGGTTATATCTGGTCCTTGGGGCTTGGTGGTGTGCATATATATCTAGTTTCTTAAATAAGTTGTTGCTTGCTTCCTGTATTAGCATTTGACTGTCTTTTGATACCACGAATAACTAGTTTGATTTGGGATTCTTGCAGTTGACCAAGTAACACAGACCATGCATCTTGTAGTTGTAGCCCCTTGTTCATTTTTGAATTTGTATGTGAAATGAACTTACAGCGTTTTGATGACAACGAAGTTGAGATACCGATTTGGCTCTCCCAGCCAATGGCAAGGGATTTTAGGAAGAGGTGACTCAAAAATTTATAAATTTCAAATAGGGACATATATATACTCCTATAAATAAATAAAGAATGAAAAAAGCCACACAGTCAAGATGACTGAGCGGTCAGATCGCAGCTGTTTGGGATGAACGGACGGATTTCCCTCAGCGTAGCAAATCAAATCCTGCCCCAATCCGAAACAGCGCCTCCGGTCTTATTATCCCAAACACAACACTCTACTCCCCGAGTCCATCCGTCCCTCCCGCAAAGACGAAGCAGCGAGCATGTCGCCGGTGACCGCGCTACTGGCGGGCACGGCCGTGCCGCCGGCCCCGTCCCCGTCCCAGGCGCCGGAGAGGCAGCACCAGCACGCCCGCCACTACTCCGTCGGCTTCCCATCGCTGCTGGTGGTGGAGTGCTCGTCGCGGCCGCAGAAGAAGGGGACCAAGCACCACATGAAGACGCGGGCCACGAAGATGCAGCCATGGGACATCAAGCGCCTCCCAACACAGTACCCGCCGCTGCCGCCGCTCCCGCCGGACTGGACGCTCGTCGCATCCGGCACCACGGCACCCGCGACCCCCGTCCTCGAGGTGGCCGTGGCATGTCACTAAACGGCTAAAGTTGTTCCCTTAAACTCTCCACTGTTTCCTTTTTCAGATTATTATAATGGCTGCCCTGATTTTGTGAGTATAAATTTAGAACCTTTTATTTATGCTAGTCCAATGGCTGTCACCGCGTCCAATTCAGTGTGTTTGCTTGATGATTTCTTGATTGCTAGCTGTGTGCAGCGATGATTCAGCTAGTCCATGCCGCCAGTGGCAGTGTAGAGTGGTTAGCTACTGCATGTCCATAGGCTGCTCCTGGTTCAATTACATGCATATGGCGTTTGCTCAGTTAAGTTGTTTTGATTGGAAATGGATTACCGAAGTATAATTTTCAGAAGTTGCTCAACTTGTACCTTGATTTACTTTGGGAGCTGGTTCTGTTTGATTTCGGCAATTGCCAGACATTGGGGGAGATTCGGTAAACTCAGCTTAGGAAATTATAGTAATTTTAGGAAGTACTACCCTTGGACCGGCCACAAAGCGGGGGTCAGGGAACAGGTCCTTCGGTCAGGAACAACATAGCCAGGGACTAGACATACCCTTATGTTTGAGTTTCGTCACTCTTCTTCCAAGCGCTAGCTCAATCTTTCCCAAATCTGGGAGCCATGGGAGCCAAGCTCCGAGCTCTCCCTCTCTGGCATGCCTCAGGCGGATAGAGTTGATAGGCAAGCTCCTTGGCCCCTCCTACATACATTTCGCCACATCTAGCCTGATCTCTCCCTCTATGTTGCCCTACCACTGAGAGCAGCAAACCATCGAGCCTCCGTTGCGGTTGCTCGTCGCCAGCAAGGCACAACAAGGCAAGGCGACACCTTCTGCATGCTCGTGCACCCACTGTGCTCATGCGCCACCCCTCCTCGTTCGGTAGAAGACTCCGCTGGGGTATCGGTACGTCACCAAGCCGCCGCTGTTGCCTCGGCGAGTCACTACCGCTGCCCCGAGCGCCCACAGTCACCACCGACAACCCCAGACGCCGCACCATGGCCTTAGGAGTGCCGGCCACCGCATAGCGTCGAGCTTCGGCCAAAGACGCCACCAGCGTAACCCACTCCGGTGAGCTCCACGACTCACCTCTGTTTCCGTCGCTGGGCTGATGCCGCCGTCTCGTCGTCTACCCTCTCCGTCTGCCTCTCTCTCTATGTGGTGGGTCCTTGTCCGGAACGACGTCCACGACGTCAGACGAGAGGATCGCTGTACTACATCTAGACCTATCATAGCCACTTCGTAAACCCCCATCACAGTTGAATTTCAGCCTTGGCAGTAAGCTGTTGACAGTATTGGTCAAAGCCCTCATCGTCGGCTTCATCCTCGACTGTGGTGTATACTAACACCATCGTATTGGCTTATGATCCGTCTGTGATCAGGTCCTTATTTCAGTCGCATTGGAGCACGACCCACCTGTGTGGGTATACACTATCACCGCCGTATTGGCTTATGATGCATTCGTAATCAGGTGGTCGTTGTTTCCACCACATTGTAGCATGATCCGCCTGCGTGGCTATACACTAACACCGTCGTATTATCGTGCTTTCACGACGATGAGCGCCTATTTTTCACGACAAACTAACAAAGGGGTTCATCGCTTTCGTGGAGAGCCTAATGGAGATTAGGGTTCGGCATGCATTATTGTCCTAAGGTAGAAGAAAGAACATAATGCCGGAAATAGTAGCAGATGTATTATGTCGATTGGCTAGAGAAAAACAATCGGCCACGTACCCAGTATTATACACAGGTATGCCACGGTCTTTGACAAGCTGTATCCGGCCAGGATTCTAAACTGGAATACATAAGCGTCCGATCCTATCCACACGAAAACTAATGTCCGGGTATAAACAGCTCAACTAATTACAATTTTCTTCAATCTTCTATTTTGACTCTGCACGCACTAATCAATCTGCATGTAGATAATAACGAATAAAATATTCCAAATCTATTTTATTTGGCCATGCAACTCAAGAAGTACGGAGATACCAGTCGAAAACGCATACGGCTGCTACTTCTTTGCTTGATCGGCCAAATAATAATCAACGCCTGCAAAATACTTTCTTCCTTTCTCAAGTATTCTCCAATCTGATTCAACTTCAACCTTTTCCGATTTCTCTTTGCTTTCTTCCCATATAAGTGAGCCAACATATATGCAATATGTCTTCCATCACATGACCCTGCTGGCTCATGTCTGAGATCCCAACAACTCTGTCATGTCCCATGCCTCTTGCACACCATGCAACGCCAACACCAGCTAATCTTGAAGATCAGTGTTGTTCTTTCCTGTTTGTCTCCTGCTGCTTGCATTATTAATTAGCTAATAGATCAATACAAAATATTTATTAGCAGCCGAATTAGCTTACTGACAAATTAAACCGGCTAATGGAAATATTTCACAGCTAACAAATAAACAAGCTATTGCTAAAGCCAAATTTACTAACAAACCCGGCCAGCCAAAGTATGCTGGACGGCCAAATTAACTGCAACAGCAGTGGTAACCCCTTTTTAGATTCTATAATTCAACAAATATACACGTACGTGCTAGTTCAACATACTTGTTATTATCACGTACATGCCAGTACACGTACATACATGTTTGTGCTTACACATACATTGTTTGAGCCACAGCCTGTGTAAACTATGGGCATTCAGCTGTCTCCCTGTAAACAAGGAGAAGAATGGACGATGTTTACCAAGTAGGAGCATATGATGATATTTAAATTCCCATTCTGTTGTCATTTGTGACCTCATGATGTTGTTTCCTAATTAACGATGGACAAAACGCTTCCTGCCATCAGCAAATCCAGCTAAGCAAAATTCTGGCATTGTGAATTACGAGAAGGTTTGGTGCCAACTATCGTCATTGGCAGCATCATGTATGTTTGTGCGAACATCATCATAGTTGACAACTATCGTTATTGTCAGCAAAAGGGCGATATGACGGTGTTTCCTAACTAATGGTGGACAAAACACTTATATTTTTTTTTCACCGAGAAGAGCCAAGCTACTATAAAAAGGCCGTGTGTATATATACATTGTTATTATCATGTACATGCTAGTACACGTACATACAAATTTGTGCTTACACGTACATTGTTTGAGCCACGGCCTGTGTAAACTATGGGCCTTCAGCTGTCTCCCTGCGAACAAGGAAAAGAATATACGATGTTGACTAAGTAGGAACATATGATGATATTTAAATTCCCATTCTTTTGTCATTAGTGACCTCATGATGTTGTTTCCTAATTAATGATGGAGAAAACGCTTTCCCGGCATCAGCAAATCCAGCTAAGCAAAATTCTGGCATTGTGAATTACGAGAAGGTTTGGAGCCAACTATCGTCATTGGCAGCGCCATGTATGTTTGTGCGAACATCATCATGGTTGACAACTATCGTTATTGTCAGCAAAAGGGCGATATGACGGTGTTTCCTAACTAATGGTGGACAAAACACTTATATTGTTTTCACCAAGAAGAGCCAAGCTACTATAAAAAAGTCAGTGTGTATATATACATTATTATTATCACATACTCGCTAGTTCACGTATATACACGTTTGTGCTTACACGTACATTGTTTGAACCACGGCCTGTGTAAACTATGGGCCTTCAGCTGTCTCCCTGCGAACAAGGAGAAGAATAGACGATGTTTACTAAGTAGGAGCATATGATGATATTTAAATTCCCATTATGTTGTCATTAGCGACCTCGTGATGCTGTTTCCTCATTAACGATGGACAAAATGCTTATATTGTTTACAACTATCGTCATTGGCAGCGTCATGTATGTTTGTGCGAACATCATCATCACTACCGAAAATAGCGGCTACCCATAGAAGATGCTGCCGTCGCCGGCCTGTTCGTCGGGGGAGAGCACGCGCGGCCGCCCTGCCTAGCGCCTGGTCCCCGCCTCCACGAGCCCCGCGCTCACCTCGTCCCCTCTCTTTCCCTCTCCCCATTCCCTACCTTCTTCTCCACTTGGTCGAAGCCGCTGCCGCTGCCTGCTCCTCGATCTATTCGCGTCGTGAACTCTTCCTCCCTCCGCATGCCACGGTGAGCCGTAACCCAAAGCCGGACCTCCTCATTGACGGTCGTCGTGACCTGAAGCCCCAAGGCAAGATCCCCTGTTGTCCTCCCCTCCGCTCTCCAGTACTGCTCCTCTCTCCTTTTCTCCCGGTCATCTTCCTCCTCTGTACTCCTTCAGTCCTTCCTCTGTATAAATTTCAGAGACATATTATTAAATCCTTCTCTGTCTTAGTGTCATCTGCTCTGTAGGTACTTGGTATGTAGTTGTGTTGCATCTACAGCCTACGTACGTCTTTGTGGATATAATATGCCTCTTAAATCTTCAATTGTGATTCATTGATTCATTCTCTGTTGGTGTTGCATATACAGATTACATCAAGGCATGAAGATTAACTTTAATTTGTTCAGCTACACATATTCGGTATAATTTGGTCACCGCCTAGTGCATTTTCTAATGGCTCTGATTCTTAAAGGCTGACATCATGATGATGTCATATAGTCTCTTTTCCCTATAGTAATAAATAAAGAAAACTAGAAATACAATTTCAGTATACACTTATACAGAACCGATATCCGTGGCCGTGAAACCCAATAACCAGCAGCCGGCAACCGTACGGCCGGCGGCGGCCTACAGCTGCGAGCACCCAGCAGCGAGGGACGTGTATTTGATTCTAGAGATTACTCGTTCTGCAGCCCATGTGCAATTTCATGTGATTCTTCTGTAAAGTAGACCATAAACGAGGATATATGCATGGTTCTATATATTGAATACTTAATTAGCAGTACACCATGGTAGCAACAAACTCCTCAAATGAGTAGTACACTGCATATATATGCCTCAAAGGGTGAAGAGTATTTAACCCTTCAGTGCACCAATGTTTTGCAATATGCCTGATTGAGTACAGTGTATGCAGAATCGAACTCAAGTCGGAGGATTTTGACTGGTTCAATATATAGGACAAGCGTTAGATGCCGCTGAAGATTGGTTGTCCGGTCA